CGGCATATTGACGGTCATTTGCATACCTCGCAACACAATTCATGTGCTCGTCATCTTGTATGGGTATTTTAGCTTAATGCACGTTGCCTATCTTTCATGAGTGCTAGCCCAAGTTGGGACATTTGTTAATTCATGGCTAACTAGAAGTACCTTCAAATCATACTTGTTCCCAAATATCAGCGTCTTGCCACATTCGTCCAACTATATGGCGTCGCCCCACGATCGCATGTTCAGCCAAATGACCCTGTGGTAAGGCTAGAACTGTGGACAACGCATACAAGTTAGTATACAAGACCTTTAGAATGCTTTCATTGATAACTCATTCGACTTAGAGGTATTAGTGCATCTTTATCGTAGCACTCGAAGTATAGCAATCTCTATTGGTAACCTTAAGGCCTTCGATGCCCAACAAGATCTAATCCGCTCGATGGGTTCCCAACCTCATACAAGTAAAGAGGTGCCTAAAGTAAGCCCTCATTTGTCCCCGTGGCCCCTTAGGATTACTCATTTAGTACATAAGGATATCCCACATGCTGCCCTTCAATGGAGACAAAAGCATTAAAGAAGCTAACTTATTTCTCACCAAGCATATTGCCTTTAAATTAGACTTAGCAAGAAAAACTCAAGCGACACCCATGGACGTCTTTTGATCAATTAATCATAATTTTCATAACTGACATCCTCATCCTTCAAATGATGCTTTGTTTGATCTATAGCAAATGTAACATCTCCAAAAATCAAGCTCACAAAGTTTCAACCCCAACATATACACGATACTTTAGATATTGTCCCCACAATTTAATAAAACTATGACAATATCATTGCCCAACGCTATCACCTTCGGTCCATATGTTTCCTAACCAAATGGACTATGATTGTCGTCTATCTTAGTAGGGAGCTTTCTAACTCCTTAAAGATCTACACAACACGGTTTCCCAAAAACTCTCTAAGATTATTTGCTCAATACACGAACTTATTGTCATTACGACCAACTATAAACTCATATTAAGCCACTCTTTCATCATCCCCAATTATTGTCATGCAAAGTTGCATACATGACACAGGCGTGCTAGCCTAGGGTAAGAGGGGAGAAGTAACCTTGTTTGACTTATGGATATCAATATTTAAACTATACTCAATTTTCCCGGTTCCTCTCCCAATTTTATTTTGTCGGCTATGGTGAAGGGGTTTTGTAACATCCAATTCGATATGTATACCAAAAAATGATTTCGAATATGAGCCATTTTTATCCACCTCAACCTCTAGAATTTTTTCCATTGAAAGCCTCGTCCAAAAAAGACGCCAACGGACATTTTTTTGAGCGGTGGTAAATTTGGAGTCACCATAGAAAACACAAAAAGAGATCGTTTGAAAATTCATTATTGTTGTAATAAAAATTAACTTCGGTTCTCCTCTTCACATTCTAGCAAAAACACATCTTTGAGAAAGTGAGTTACGAGTCATGTGGATTGATGACTTCCATAGGACCCTCATCGCGTTCTTAAAAGCTTCCGATGTCGTGGACTTCACGTCAAAATTTTCCCTATGGGATCAAACTTGGATTCCATAATGTTTGCGAACCATAGTCATCTATCCCCCAATACCTCATATTATTGGTCTTGTTCCAAGCGTGGGTGAATGCATAATTGATCAATTTCATCCATACCTTCCTCGGCATGTAGGGTTTCAAGATAGTCCGTCTCTCTACGAGTCCTAGGAAGTATAGACAGAGAATTCCTAGACAAATTTTATTTAGGCAAACAATTTTAACACAAGTTAATTGAAGGAAAAACAAAACTTGGGTTAGTTGATAAAAAGGAAAAAAAAATAAAAAAATACCAACTCTTGTACGAAGAATTCAATCCTGTAGAGAGAGATGGCAGGCAGCGGCTCTTCAAATCCGACGCAAGCTCCCAAGATATTGTTAACGAAGCCTGGCCTCGTCACATCCGGTAAATTCAACCGTGGAGGCGGAGGTAGCGGTCACGATGACGACTCCGCTGCACTCCGGTCACGCATTCAGTCCATTGGGTCTCTCAACCTCCTCTCAGATTCCTGGGATTTCCAGATCGATCGATTCCTTCCGGTCAGCTCGCTAGCTCTCTCTTTCTCTCCTCTCTCCCCTACTACTTGTTGAAGTTACCGTCTTTAGGTTTGCTGATTGTTTTCTTTTCTGGGTTGATAACTGTCCTGCAGTTTTTAACAGATAACACTGATTTCACTGTTGTGGGTGTGATTGGGCCGCCTGGCGTCGGCAAATCAACCATTTTGAATGAAATCTATGGTTTTGATCCTTCTTCACCTGGTGCGTCGGTCTGCATATCTGTATTCTACTCTATATGGCTTGTGTAATAAAATAAAAATCTAGATTTGTGCTAAGTGTGGGAAATATGGCTTCTTTTGGGGACATTCTGATGCAAATTATAAACGTGGATGATAAAGATGAGCTAAATTTGTGCATGGTTTACAGGAATGCTACCCCCATTTGCAGTAGAATCGGAGGAAACAAGAGCAACGGCGAGGCACTGTACTGTTGGTATTGAGCCTAGGATTTCCTCCGAGAGGATTATACTTCTGGACACTCAGGTTTTATACTTTGTTGCTATTTTAATGGTTGTTGTATTCCTTTGATTGTTAAAGAATACGAATTGAAATGAGTTTCCCTTTCGATAATTGTGTTTTTATTGCTTAAACTTTGTATTATATGCAGCCTGTGTTTAGTCCTTCTGTGTTAGCCGAGATGATTCGGCCTGATGGTTCATCTACGGTATCTGTAATAAGTGGTGAGTCTCTGTCTGCAGAGTTGGCTCATGAACTGATGAGTATCCAGGTAAATGCTTTGATGAATTGTAAAGAATATTCATTCCTTCTTGTGCTATATTCCGTGGTCCTAAAAACTGGTGTATAGTTCTAAGAACATTATACTATGACAATTGAAGTTATTATTTAATCCCTGCTGCAAGGAATCATTCTAGCTTGGCGTTCTTCTTGCATCAATTTGTCATATAATCTTGGTGGTATCGGACGGAGTTCATGATGCTAGCATGTGGCACTTGATGTTGACGGTAATCAGTTCTTCCACTCTCTTTGTTAGCATTTTCTTTTTTCTATATTAACTTTGTGTCTTTAGTTTGATCATTGTGTTTTCTTGATTTGGCTATTATAATTTGAAACTTGTTGTTACAAATTTACATCATTTGAGACCTATAGCAATTAGGTTGATTTCTATATGGATTCAAATCACAAGCAGACTCACCCACTTTTTCAATTTCATGGCCAATGGGATTGATTGTTGCCTCTTTATTGCCATTTTTATATCATTTTCATAATTATCTATTTATCCCACAGTTTTGGGAATGTCTACAATGGGTGAAACTCCAGTATTTTGACAAATAGCGTTTTGTTTATGTTTATCTCTTTGTTTGCTGCTACAAAAGTTTGTTTTGTTGATTGTTTGTTTCATTTTTTTTTCTTTTTAACTCCTTTGGATGTATCAAAGAAAATTTTGGTACTGCCATGATTTATTTTGTAACTATATTTTTGGACTTGTAATACGAATCTGTAACATCATTACCTGGTTGCAGGTGGATTTATTAAAACATGGCATACCCGACCCATCTTCCTTGACCTTTTCTCATCCACAGAGCTCTACTATGAGTGCTGATAAAGAGAAGGATAAACTTCTAGAGGGTGGAGATGAGTACATTGCAGCCCCAGTTTTTGTGCATACAAGGTTTGTTAAGCTATATCAATTTCGCACTGTGATTAGCATTGCAGATGCAGAACACAATTTAATACTGGGAGCAAACATGTCTACTCTGAAATCTTATGCTTGGTGACATGCCTATATCATTGGTTTTATTGCTTACTTAAGCTTATGGATGATTGTGTGGAGATTATCATGTTTGGGATGTTTTGATGAATAAATACTATTGTCTTGTGTAGGCTTCGTGACAGAGATGTTACACCACAAAATTTTGTACAAATGAAGAAGGCACTTGCACGAGGTTTTAGCTCCTCTTCATTTATGAGATTGAAATGCCGAGATGCATCAAAAGAGGCTCGCTCATCTGACACTCAAAACGACGACTTAGATTCCAACCTGAAATTATTTCTAATTCCATCCAAGGGTAGAGATGACTCCTCAAGACCACAGTATGAGAGCTATATATCTATGCTGTGGAAAGTAAGGGATCAGGTTGGTCTCTCTCTCCCCTGCATTTATGTTTGCACTAGGTCACTCATCTTCACATCTCGTCGGAGTTGGGAGTAACATTATTTTTCATATGATAATACACCACCAGAATTTGAGTGTTATAAATTGCTATTTGAGCATCAAATTTCAAATTTCCAGGTTCTATCTACCGGTACCCCATCTTTCTCAAGGATCGTGTCTGAACGTGACTGGTTGAAGAATTCGGCAAAAATATGGGAACAAGTTAAGAACTCTCCAATTATCGCTGATTACTGCAGAACTCTCCAGAGTTCAGGCTTGTTTAGGAAGTAGACGACCTTCTTTGTTTCAATTGTAATCCACTAAATAGTTCTTATGGCAATCTGGTATAGTTTATTAGGTAATACTGATGATCAATGGGTTTCTTTTAATCTATTTATAACACTTGTTTTTCAGTGCTGGTTATATTTTGGAAGAATCATACTCATACTCTAGATGCTAATCGTGTTTACATCTAATTCTTGGTTTAAAGCATCAATTTGAATTGATACACCCTCATGAAAGAGTTGTCTGAACTAAATTAGGATAACTGTAGTACGAGCAGTCCATTCTATAACTCGTAGGAAAATGACCCAACAAACAAAAGAATTGTAAGGTACAATTGAAAAGCCGGTTGAGAGAGAGAAGTGAACAAAATCTGTTAATTAAATTTAAGGCATTGACCATACAAAGACAGCCCAGTGTATTTGAGAAACTAAAACGAGATGGCTAACAACAGAAATCCTCAGTCAGGGCATTCCTTTGGTTCTACATTGGCTTTCACCATTTACTCCATCATAGCATCCATGGAAGTTTTGGCAGCCGGTTTTTGAGATTTTCTCTTGTTCTTCTTACCTGAAGAGACAGAGAGAATTTAAAGTAAATAGTCAAAAGAGCAATTAACAGCTAAAACTAAATAGGAGTACATTTTAACATTCATTGCATGATAAACTGAATGTAGAACAGTAGTTGCCCATATTTTAATATTGTGACATAGGGGACTATGTTGAAACATAAACATTTACTGGATTCAAAACTGCAATACTTCACTACTTAAACACACTATACCCTTGTTTAAGGCCCATTTTGGGAAAAAAAAATGCGTTCGAACAGTGATTTTTTGGAGAATGTAGGGTTAAAAAATAAGAAAAAGTTTTCAATTTACGTGTAAAATTATTTTATTGTAGAATGTGTGGTTGAATATGAGTTTTGAAAAAACTGAGTTTTTGGTTCAATGGGAGCACAAACAAGGGCTATATCAACAAAAAAAATATTGCTGTCTAGAATCTGTTCAATTCAGAAACGTTTTTGCAACTAAAGCCCTAAAGATGTGAATTTTAAGGATTTTGTTGGATGAAGATTGTCAAATATGATAGGAATATACTCAGTATTGAGCCAAGTTTAATTTGTTTTATGGTTGTGCATATATATGAGAAGAATATGTATGGTGATCCTGGACTAAGGTTTATCCTTTTGTTTTGAAAAAAAATGTTTAATCGTAGACCCTTCTCAATGTTTTATAACACCTTTCAAATCATGAAAAAGATCCACCTCGTAAAGATGACAAATCAACAAACTCATTCAAAACAAAACAAAGTTTTGGAAGAATTTGTTTATTCGTAGATGGTAAACGTAGAAAATTTGAAAGATAAACAACCTAGCAAAGATGATGAATGGTAGCTACTGCTAAAGTATTAAACATGGGTTACAAAACGCAAGCAGGAGTTGCAAAGAAGGGTGGAAAACAGTATTTACCTGTCTTCTTCAACTGCTTTACTTTCAGTTTTGAACTCTTCTTCATCGGGAATTTAACAGGAGGTTTATTGGCATCTTGCAATGTCCCTAATTTCCATAAAAATAAAATGTTTTCCATCAAAATCCATGCCCATATCGCAAACAGAAAATTGTAGCTTTTCAAATATGTGACCAAAAACTCAAAACTGATCCATGAACACTCTTCATATCATACACACCTTTCACTAAATTATTTGTATAATTCCTATTTACAGAGAAAATTCCACCATCTATTTGATAATAAAATTTTCTAATTGATTTAAATAACTCGGAAATTAACTAATATAGACACTGAGTAATTAAACAGGGAATAAAATTATCCAATAAATTAGTTAATTTTGCTCAATTAATCTTAGTTAACAATGGATTATTAATTGCGTACCATCAGCAACAGCCATCTCGACATCTTGCATAGTAATTAAACCTTCCTTCACTCCCTCCTTTTGCTCCTGTTTTTTCCAAACCAGTTAAAACGATGTTAGCAATATTAAAAAACGTAATACTTCAGAAGTTCAAAGAGGTTTTGAATTTCATATATGATTATAAAAGAGACCCGGCGCCATTTCTTGAAGAGCTTGCGCTTTCGCTTGCCGGAGATGGAGAGCGGCTGGGGCTTTAGCCGGAGCTTTCCGGTGGATGGTTCGCCGTGCACTCGTCTCTTCCGGTCCGCTATTGCGGCCCTCCGTCGCTTCTGTACCACGTTGAATTTCGCCATCACCGCAAAAAATTAGAGTTAAACCCTAATCTGATATTTCAGCCTATATAATTTATAAATTCGTCGAACCCGGTTTTGTAGTTCTTAAAACTTGGGTAATTTTCATATTAGGTCCCCCAAACATTCAAACTAGGATTACTTAGGCCCAGGTTTTATTTTTTGGCAATTGCATCCCCCTACTTACACAATGGGTGCAAATAGGCCCCCTTTTAAGCATATTTCAATCATATGTGCTCCTATAAGTTTTAACCAGTATTTTAAAAAACGTAAAACTAGATTACGCAAGAAAGCCCAACTAGATTATTAGGTTTTGTCTGGTGCCACTACTAATCAGAATTCCAACCGTTGTGACCGTACAATTTGACTTCTTTGTGAGAGGGTGAACCCCATTTTTTAAAAACTAACTGCCAAAAAAGCCTAGTTTTGTTGATTTTAAGTTGAACTAGACAAGCTATTAATAATTCCTATGATTAGTCAATTATACAATTTTCAAAAAAAAAATTTGAAACTAAAATCAAATAAAAGGCTTTCAAAAAAGAAAAATAATGAAAAAATTAATAAAACGGGCATACGTGAGGTACTAGGCACGCTTTTTATAGAATTCTGCTTTAATTTAGAATAATCCACGATAAATATTTCGTCATTGTAAGTCGAGTCATTGGTCTATTCAAAAACATTCATCAACGTAAAGGCACCCTGGATGGGAAAACCATGAGTATCGTTAAATGGAACAATTCAAAACCGCAAGTACCCAAATTTATTAACAACGAAAACAAGAGAGACATGTCCATGTACTTTTTTCTCATCTTCATCGGAGCTTGGTTTAAAGAAAGAGGCACTTAGGCCTTTTTGGGTTGCCAGGGTTGGTATCTGGTCCAGTCTCTTTGCCCAGGGTTGAGGGTATGTCCCTTCGAGTGATAAATGTACTCATCCCCCTCCCCAGAGAAGTTTTCTTTGTGTTCAACTCCATATCTCTTCGGCTTCAACAAGAGCAGCTACATGAAATGTAGTCTAGATGAGCATCTCAGCATACATGTCAAAACGTTCATTGAATTGGGACCTAAACTCACCTCGTCTCCTGTATGATCAGTTATAAAATGAAGCCAACCATGCCATTCTGGCGGGACTTGAGAAGCATTGTAGCGATTCTTAGAAGCATATTCCACCCACCTATGTCTGCCTGAAAATTGAAACAAAACTGCTAACATCATCCGTGATGGTTTTATTCAATGAAGTCTAGAACTCAACATGCACGTGGATGCAAGTGAAAAGAAAATGTTTCTGACATAAAAGGGCATCCTTTTCGATAGGGAAGAGTTTCAAACCATGACATGTGAGAGCAGATACACCCCAAGTTAATTTAAAATGTCTATTATAATTGAACATTTGGGGAAGAATCTCTAAGCTTGAAAGTAAGCATCTTGAGAAAAATGTAGTCATACCACTGTTGTATAAATAATATTCATGCCAAGCAAAGGATTTTCCAATGCAGCCAGATGAAAATAATAATTGACGCCTAGGGGAAAAAAATGGTAGGTGTAGTCTAAATATAAAGAATAAAATTAGAGGCAGCACTGACCACATTGAGTGTCTCCAAGTTTCTGATAATACTTATTACCAATCTTATCAACACCAACAAGAGTTGCCCCTATGTTGTGAATCTTGGTTTGCCTGAATTAATCCATAAAACAAGCAAAATTTCAGTTGATGGTGGCAGTCATTATGTCATTAACCAACACAGAGCAAACACACATCGGCAAGTTGCTAGCACCAATCAATCAACAACGTCAGTCCCTAATAATAGAATGATAAAGAATCTAAATCTCAATGCATAGCAAGCTATGGCGCCAATAGAAATTCATCAGAAACTTTGCAAATCATTATTTTCTTCCTCTCTATCGATATTTCTAAAAGAATTTACAGATGGAGGAAGAACAGAGTCTGAAAATGAAAAAGGCAAGAAAAAAGATAGGATGATAAAGTATAACAAAATCAGAAGAAGAGAAAAGGAAGAAATATTTGACAGATTTGAGTTTTACTTGAGAGTGAAAAGTCATCAATTTCTGCAAGACAGCCGGCATTTTCATACAAGTGTCCCAATTATTTATTCTAGTTGAATTTTGGTGCTCATCGGCATAAACCCAAATTAAATGGAATTATGGAAACTAAGTTTTGGAAACCACCAGTATAAATGTACAACTATGACAACAAACTAAGCCTTCTTCTAATAAATATTGGGGGCAACAGTGTAAAATTTTTTTTGCCACCTTGTTCAACACATCACTGCTTCCAGGAAGATCCAACACAATCAAATTCTTCGAAACTGCAATGGATTGTGCTAATTTTGGTTTACATCTCCATCTTCTAACCTATTCCACGAGATTGATCATCCTTATGAAAAAGGGCTTCTTTAAGTCTGAAATAATCGAATCACCTAAGCATCATTTCTTCAATTTATCCCAAATTTATGCCATCCTCAATAGTTAGTGTAGATTTTTGTTTCTTTTGTTATCCATTCTAGAGTGACTAGATATCCATCGTAATATGCTTAGAACCACTTATGGACATTTTTCCCCTGAGCGGCTCCACACAGCACCATAAAGCTTAACACATCTAGTGACCATTCCGCAAGACTCCCTTTTAACCTTATAGGTACCACAAACACTGGTATATATACAGATTAAAAAGCTCCAAGTTCTAGAAAAGATTTAAAGTCATTTAAGTTATATTATACCCGCTCATTAGTTACATATCCCGTTTTCAACAACTAAATGAATCTACACTGTGCATATTTGTCAATAAAGGGAAAAATCGCCATCCTTACTGTCCTAAGTTCGAGAAACATTGATTTTTTATTCATTATCTTGTTAGAAGAAACATATTTTATAGTATCTGAACAACCGGAATGATAAATAAACAAGAAATTTCACGTAGACGGTTTTCCATTAAAATAGATTCCCTAAGAAATTCATTTTACACCAAGCTCGAAAACCTAACTACTAAGTTCATATGAACCTAGGAACATGTCTTCATATGTGATGATTTCATTCATGTAACTAAACATCTTAACATCGTGCACAAAAAACAAAATAATGCCCCATTTGTATACGAATTGAACTACAAAGGGATACACAGACACATGTACAACAATTAATCAAAGTGACAGAACTGATATATTGAAATTGAGAGTCTCTGACCAATCCTCAACAAATCGACAGAATTATCTCAAGAAATCTTAATTCACCATTTTACAATTTTGCCACTTTTAATTTTACGTAATCATTAAAGGCTCATCAAGAAAAAGGACTCCAATTCCACTTACATAAGATTTCCATCCAGAAGTGCAGACCTGGCAAGTACATTGGAAAATCAAAAGAAACAAAAAACAAATCAGTAGAGATGTATAATTTACAAAAAGAAATGCAAAAGGCCATAACTGTTAGCAAAAATTTAATCCGTTGACCACTATCTTAGATTTCCTTGGCAATATTTGAGGCATTGTGTGTCAAAATTTAGAAAGTAATTAAATTAAAATAAGAAAGAGACAGAAAAAAGGTATTCGACAATTTTACATTAGATGAACTCAATAAACCAAAACTGAAAAGGGTGTGTCATATGTATCATAATTTATTTATATATATATATATATATTTTAGGTGGTAAAGGACATTGGATTTTAGACCTGCAAATCTCAAAATCTGAATGTGTGGTTTGGTATTGTCTCTATCAAAGTCTATTAATATTGAAAAGAATACACGAAGAGGATATTGGCCTTAGCACCACGGAATTACAGAGAAACCCATCTATATCCTATTTGCAGTCTAATCAATGTTACAAAAGCTTCATGAAATTTACAAAGAAGAATATCAATACCCTTTTCTCGAGTCCGAACTCGATTGATTATTGTGTAATAATATCTAATTCTTAAGTTAATTTACCATCAATCTCATTGATCGTGAACCCTAGCAACAGAAAAATATTGAGAATACTGAGCTCGACGAAGGAAGCACGTCTAATTAACAGAAACAAAATACATAAAAATATGTTGAGCATAATCAACATAAGTCACAATTCATACCAGGAGACTCGGATTCAAAATAGATCATTATGCTAAAAAGGAAGATTTACAGAGAAGAAAATGATGAGGGAGAAAGAGGACAAACAAGTATCCTTCTTCTCTGAGCTCTCTAAAATAAGTTCCAATTCCTTTTTCTCTGATTGATTTCAATGCATTTCTCAACACTGACGCCATTTCTCTCCTTCACGATCTCCTCTTCTTTTTCAGTGGGCTAATGCGATGTTGTCCAAAGAGTCGCGAGTTAATTGTCTTGATGGTTCATGTATTCGATTGATAAATGTGCCAGTGAAGTTATTCAAACGTTGCTAGTCAAGGTGTAACATTTGTTTCAAACTATTAACGAAATTGTTAGACCAAGCTAACGAAATGGTAGCATTCTGTCACACCGTTAACAAAGTCTCACGTTTGCTCGCTAAATTTTGAAAAACGTGTTCGATTATTCACTAAATTTTGAAAAAGTTTTTAATTGTTCGCTGAAATTTGATGCGATCGAATTTTTGCCATTAAATTTATAAAAAATGATGTCGACTTGTTGTTCGTTAAAAAAAAATATGCCACAACCGTACGGACGCACAAAAGTAATTAAGTGGACAAACGAATTTGGGTTGTCAACGAGAAATAATTATTCGATCACACAATTGTTAAATTTAATTTTAACACCTTTTTGTAGGATTTTAAGTTATTTTCATCATTTAAAAAATTCAAATCTATTGTTTGTTTCGCTGTTGAAATTAAATTAAATTAAAATTTAGATTTTACAACGAAACACGCAATAAATTTAATTAAATTGATTGTCTATTTCATTACAAAATTCAAATTTTAGTTAAATTTATTTTGTATTTCATTGTAAAATCCATTTAATTAAAGTTATTGTACGTTTCGTTGTAAAATTCAAATTTTATTTTAACAACGAAACACACAATAAATTTGACTAAATTTCAAATTATGGAAATAGTTTAAATTTGTGTAATAATGTGTTAAAATTAAATTTAACTATCGTGGAATTGAGCAATTATTTCTCGTGGGATCGACAATCCAAACTCATTTGTCCACTTTATTACTTTCATGTGATATGTGTGCTGGTGATACACATTTTTTAATGAACAACAGAACTGCATCATTTTTATAAATTTAGTGACCAAAATTCGACCACTTCAAACTTCAGTGAATGAACGATTACTTTTTTTTTTTAGTTTAGCGAGCAATCGAAAACATTTTTCAAAGTTTAGTACGTAATCGAAGACCTTTTTTATAATTTAGTGAACAATCAAAGACGCGACGAGGAGCTACACGTACATTCCGTTAGCAACGTTACTAATTTGTTAACGGTTTGAAACAGATGTTGTGCCATGAATAACGTCTAATGTTTAGATAAGTTTCTTCTATATATTAAAAGTGGCTATATAACGGAATTTCTTGTTTTAATAGAAAAACTAACAGAATTTGTTCTTTTAACGGACTATGTAACGGAATTTCTTGTTTTAAATAGGCAGCTGCACCTTCTTTCATTGTTTTTATCATAACTTTGTATTCCGATGTCCGATTGAGGCGATTCAAAATGCGTTGGAAAGCTAATTCATCTGGCTAAAACTGGCTAATGCGATGTTGTCCAAAGAGGCAAAGAGTCGCGAGTTAATTGTCTTGATGGTTCACGTATTCGATTGATAAATGTACTACTGAAGTTATTCAAACGTTGTTAGTCAAGGTGTAACATTTGTTTCAAACTATTAACCAAATTGTTAGACCAAGCTAACGAAATGGTAGCATTCTGTCACACCGTTAACAAATTCTCACGTTTGCTCACTAAATTTTGAAAAACGTGTTCGATTATTCACTAAATTTTGAAAAAGTTTTTAATTGTTCGCTGAAATTTGATGCGGTCGAATTTTTGCCATTAAATTTATAAAAATGATGTCGACACGTTGTTCGTTAGAAAAAAATATGCCATAACCGTACGGACGCACAATAGTAATTAAGTGGACAAACGAATTTGGGTTGTCAATCTCATGAGAAATAATTATTCAATCAAACAATTGTTAAATTTAATTTTAACACGTTTTTGTAGGATTTGAAGTTATTTTCATCATTTGAAAAATTCATATTATTTGTTTCGCTGTTGAAATTAAATTAAATTAATTAAATTAAGATTTTACAACGAAACACCCAATAAATTTAATTAAATTGATTGTCTATTTCATTACAAAATTCAAATTTTAGTTAAATTTATTCTGTATTTCGTTGTAAAATCCAATTAATTAAAGTTATTGTATGTTTCGTTGTAAAATTCAAATTTTATTTTAACAACGAAACGCACAATAAATTTGACTAAATTTCAAATTATGAAAATAGTTTAAATTTTTATAATAATGTATTAAAATTAAATTTAACTATCGTGGAATTGAGCAATTATTTCTCGTGGGATCAACAATCCAAACTCATTTGTCCACTTTATTACTTTCATGTGATCTGTGTGCTGGTGGTACACATTTTTTAATGAACAACAGACCTGCATCATTTTTATAAATTTAGTGACCAAAATTCGACCACTTCAAATTTCGGTGAATGAACGATTACTTTTTTTTGAGTTTAGTAAGCAATCGAAAACATTTTTTAAAGTTTAGTAAGTAATCGAAGACATTTTTTATAATTTAGTGAGCAATTAAAGACATGACGAGGCGCTACATGTACATTCCGTTAGCCACGTTACTAATTTGATAACGGTTTGAAACGGATGTTGTGCCATGAATAACGTCTAATGTTTAGATAAGTTTAGTGACAAAAACTCAACATCTTAAATTTCAGTGATCAGAAGGCAAGGACATAAGTTCAGTGCCCATTAGGACAATTAACTCAAAAGCCATTTAATCAAACGGTCCATTTTGTCTTGTATTTATCAAAAACAACCTTGACAGTTCAGATTTTGAAATTTTAACATTTGTTGACTAGTTAAAAGTTGTGCACTTAGAAGTATAAAGGGTGACCAGACAGCAATATCAAACTTCGAAGCAGTGTTCATTGCATACTCTACAATGCTTTAATAGGAATGGAAAATCATTCACCGAAACGTTAAATAACCGTTCAAATACTCAACAAAAATTTACATATTAACTTCACATTTTCGAGACCTAGTATGACTTAAAGGTATTTATTCGAATAATTTGACGTACTTCACACCACCTTTGTTGAGAAACAGATGAGTGATGAAGTATGAAGAACGGTTTAAAATTGGCTACTAAAATGAATTTATATTAACACCATTTCCTTGTCGTCACGTTCAAGGCGAATTTAAAATATTAGGCATTTGATATCTAAAACATTTGAAATTAATAGGAATAGAAAATAGTGTGAATTTTTGGTATGTTAAGAGATCTTCTTTTACTTTTCGTTTTTTTCCTTTTCCTAACTATTTGATAAATAAAAGGGAGCCCCGGCATGACAAGGGCATCGTAGTCTTTTCATATTGGAAAAAATGGTAAAAAATGACCACATGTTTACATAAAGCATAGTTTGAGGTCGTCGGTGTCATGAAAAAAGGTTAGAGACTAACATCACACACAGGGCATAGGTTAGGGATCATTTGCGCCAAATTCCCTTATCTAATCGCAAGGTTAAATCGAGTCCTCCGTGCGCACGTGGCGTGAAATTATTGGGTAAATTCCGCTCGACGTACATAGCATAAGTAAACAATACCCACCTATACTATTATTCTTCGACCTACCGCTTATAATGCAAAATTCATTCGTGACTGTGATATATTTCGACACTTTTTGACAGAGTAGGATTTCTGACGAGAAGGGGAATTCAAATTCGTGAGGTAAATATTACTAAAAAATGTATTTACAAGCCCTTGTAAATGCTATTGATTTTATCAATTTTTATAGTTTGTTTGATTATATTCAATTGGAGTTTGTTATGATCTTCTAAAAAGTTTTCAGATTTTGAAAACGGTTTGTTACTGATATTTGAGTTCTCAAATTGATGGATATCAATTAAGTCAACCTAGAGTTTTATTGTTTTCGTTTGATGCATGTAAAAAATAATTTTAATAATTCAGTTGATTAGTCAAATAGAATCACATCGCTGGAGCCATTTTTTGATGTTCTACAATATAAATATGTAAAATTAGTTAATTTCTGAGATATATGAACAATTTTTGGTTTATTCAGATTGGGGAAAACTTGGCTATGAAATTATTAATTATAATTTTGCATCCCATTATTGATGAAAATTAATCATAAACTTCTCGTTACTTTTTAAGATCACTTGCGGTGCAATACAGTAAAGTTTTTTATTTTTTATGTTTCATACTAAAAGTTACTTTAGTTTAGTTTGCTTTTAATTTCTGGGTCCTAATAGTTTCAGAAATGCGGACACTTAAATTTGATGGACTTATCTTTTGGCTATCAGACAATGCATCTCTTAATGTATAACACAAGATCTCGAACAAGGGGAAGATGTGCTTCTTGGACTTAGCAAAGAAGTATTTGTCCCTGCAAATATGTTCACAGCTTGATGCTAAAAGATACAATTAAGACGGTCTCATGAAGTGCTGCAATTACTTTGACATAATTTTTAATCTATTTAATGGAATGAACACTCGCCCTATATTTAATCTTTATATCTCTTGAAAATATTTATTTATGACATTTTTCTCATATAATTCATATTTCATACTATGAAAGAATATTCTCAAGGATCTATTAATTATTAGGCTTAAGACGATATCTATAAATTCCACGAGTTTTTAGAAATTTATTGTTCGTGAGATATTAACAATAAGAGGATTGTTTATCAAAGATTTTAGTGCATATAATACACATAGGACCTGTTTGTGCATCTTAAATTTTCTGAAAGCTAAAAGCATTGCACTACAAGTCTATGCTGGTCTTAGCTTATTAGCTATGATTGTTTGCAAATTGTTCAAATTTCCTTGATAAATTTAATTGACTGGATGTTATCTTACAGGAAACAGTTAAAATGATGAGGCTTAAAACTTATGCTGGGCTTAGCTTAATAGCTGCACTGGCAGTTATCTATCATGCCTTTAGTAGTAGAGGTCAATTCTATCCAGCAATGGTTTATTTATCGACTTCCAAGATCAGTCTGGTGCTTCTTTTGAACATGGGTCTGGTTATTATGTGCATTTTGTGGCAATTAACCAAGAAAATCTTCCT